ATAGTTAATTAGCATTTGCTTGTGATATGTTCAATTAAAAGTGGTTTGAATATRTGTAGGAAATTTATATTTTTCTAAAATCCTTTTGTCTAGAGTTCGTGTGTTCTTGGAATTAAATGGCATTTTCTACCTCTCTGCCTTCCTTTTCAGTACTTACAAATGAAGGCACCAGACACTTGATTTCAAGTTGTGTTGGCAGTATAAATAAGTCTTAAACTAGCTACAAACAGTATGGCCATAGCTGCATGAGGGAATTGTAATGCCAGGTTCCTGATCCCACTAAGCCTCGGGACAAGGGTTATTAGGTAGGTCTAAATGGAGAGAGACAAACAGTTGTGCCACTGCTCTGCTTTGCTCTGAGCTGGACAGAGAAAGTCAGGATGTGCTCTTTCATAACTGYGTTAGGGCAGTTACAGACCTGAATGAAATAAAACCCCTTTGCCCTTCATCACCTTCAGTTTACTGGGCTGCACTCAGGGCTGAGCTCTATCAGGTTAGTTATGTAGCTGGAGGGGATGGAGCTGCCCAGCTGTGTAAGGTGCATTTGGAGCTCAGAGAGGATTACAAAATATGTCAGTTTGTGTAGGCATTTCCCATATGTCAWGTTCTCCTGGGATTCCTATCTGAATTTTCTAAAATGTTTTTGCTGTCTCCTGTTAATTCTTTGTATTTTAGTAGAGCTTAGAGACCATCAATAAGACTAGATTCTTGAAACAGTGGGCTTTGTAATTGGAGTGTCTTACAGTGAGTGACACACAGGAGAACAGGTGCAGACATAAAAAGAACCTTTCCTGAGGTAACTGAATAAGCAAGAGGAGAACACAGGGGGTTTGAACCCCTGGCTTGGTGCGATACCAGGACCTCCTGGTCTTCCATTAGAGAATTTAAAGAAATCCATCTTAAAGWACATTAGGATTTATACAATCAAGGACCCAGTCTGAGTCCATATGGGAAGACAGGCAGCATACCCTGCTCTATGCTGAGGCCCTTGGAGCTACCCTGATGTCCAGAAGATAARTGCTGCAATAATTTTCAGAAGAGACCTTTTTTTATACCTGACAATAGCAAGTTTTCTGTCTACTGTCTTAGCACCAACAGAATAACTCGAGCTTCAGGATATGACTAGGTTGTCTTCACAGTTCAAACCCAAAATTTTGCATCTATAGTTTAAGAAAATTTTCTTTTTCTGAACATTCACTTCCAAGTCCATATAACCTTAAAGCCAGCCAACACACATATGCATATTTGTACTGGAGTGTAATAAACAGTAGCACCATGGCATTACATTGTGCAAGTTGTCAGTACTGACTACAATCAGATTTGGAAAACTTTGATGAAAGTAGAATTGGCTTTCAAGGTTAAAAAATACTTCTCATTTATTGAGGTTAATTTTTCAGTTGAACAGTTTCAGCCATTGGTGAAGATGACCTTGAACATTAAGTGGGCAGAAAGAGCAATCCCTTGATGGGGCATCCAGAATTCTGATTCAATGAGGAACTTGACATTAGAATATTACAAATATGCCCAGGAAATTGTTGAAGTTTATGGTTTCCATCAGTCATAATTAAGACAAGAAAGCATGCCGAATTCATGGGTAAGAATTTAATGTTTCCCTTGTTTCTGCTTCTGTTTAATGAATGCAACCATCTTATGGGCTGTGGATCTAAAGATACTAGTCAAGCTTTCATTTTTAAAAAAGTGATCTGTTTGACTCTTTTTTTTTTCTTTTGTATCTGTTTATTGAATTGTCTCTTCTCTTGGACTGGAAAAAAATCCAGCTTAGATCTGTGACTCTTACAATATCTACAAACTTTCTGTCGTCATCCCTGGCAGCATCATCATGCTGTTACAGAAAGTCAAGCAGGGTTCAAATGATGAGCAAACTTACTCCCTGGTTTGTTGCAGACCCCTAAATCTTGAAATCTCTACTACTCTGTGTTCCACTAGTACCACTGGTGTACTCTCCAAAGCCTTAKTTGGAGCAGATAAAAAACCTGTTTTCAGTAAAAAATTACATTTTGAGGAAACATCTGGTGCAGCTAGGAAACATTGCGATAAGAGAATCTTGAATTTTGAATTTTAATTCACAGTTTATCACTGGCAGTCATTCATATGGCATTTAATTTATATTTCAAAAAGGTCCATTAGGCTAAGCACATTTATTTGGGGTTTTAAAGTATATAATTTGGTATGTGTAAATATATCCTAGGAACCATGTTCTTCTCTGTCATACCTGTCAGAGTTTATTTTACATTTTTAACAAGGTCATCATAAGCAACCAATTTTTCCTGAAGTAAAAAAAAAAAAAAAGTTAAGTTTATTTTGTGTAATATTATTCCTTTACTACTCTCTTTACTCCTTACTAGTTTTGGGGTTTTTTTGGGGTTTTTTGCTTTTTTTTTTGCTTTTTTTCCACTATTCTTTACAGTAAAAGCCCTAATTGTACATGCACTGTTTTGTTTTTTGGAAATACCTTGAGAACTTTGTTTGACTGTWTGCAATTGTATTTTAATCTGGTACAAATTCCAGATACCACATAGGTTTTCCAAATTTCTGACATTCACACCCCATAATATTTCTGTTATGTGTGCTTTCAAAGTAGAACTGGAACCTCTTAGCTCATTTTATCGAAAAAAGCATTATAAAGGGTCCTGGGTTTTGTTATAAAAATAATAAGCATTATTTGCAATTTTTACTTTAACAGCTTACCTGTTAGGTAATCATCTGATGCATTTCATTTTTATTTCAACTGAATTGATTTGAAAGGCTGTATAAAGCAATGAGTGTCAGGTGGATCATTTATCATGTTCTAGTTCAACTGCATTTAACATGTTATACATACCAGTATGGTAGAACAACAAGTAATATCTGTAATATTTGTATGCATTTAAGTAAGTAGATTATGCTAATGTCCAATTGCTTTCTTCTTTATATATCAGTATTATGATGAAGGTATTATTTCTTTCATTAAAAATTACGTTGATGAACCTCCTTGAGAGTTAATGAAGTCCTATATGGTAAACATAAGCTACGGTAGAAGGAAAGTTGAAGTGGAAGAATTTGCCTACAAAAGACAGTGTTTATGAAAAAGTTTTTTTAAGACTATGAGATGTATACATATTTGTAGGTATTAAACAGTAATAACTAAAAAGGGAAAAACATTGCTTTGAGAGTACAGGTGAAAGGAATATTTCTTTCGCTTACCTGTTTTGGAAAAGGTAGAATTATCTGCTTTACAGAAGTCTAGATTCCAGGCAGTGTTTTTTTTCTCCATTAATCTGGACCTCCTGAAATCACAACTCTACTTTGCAAGTATTGTTTATAATCCAAGGTGTTGGTAGTACTCCCTATGCAGTGGCAGCTGTTCAGAGAGCAGGTATCAAATTGCAAGGGAAATATCTTTTATCATTAAGCCCCTCCTCTCTGTAACTCGGGATAATATGCTATTGCCATAGCAGCCTCTGCTTRTTCTTTAGGGGAGGACAGACTTATTGGACCTCCTCATTCTAGCTAGGCCTGGGGCATTGTTTCCAGCAGCAAAAGGGTAGAAGAGTGCAGGAGCTTGGGGCACGTATAAATGAGTTTACACTTTCCCTTTCTTCACTTTTCTTCACTGCCAGAATCCTTGTTACTGCCCTACTGCTGGGCTGGTCTGTGGACCTGTGTTGCTCTTGTCCCGTTGTGGAGCTTCATTCATCTCCCCCATGCCTACCTTTTACTTTTCCTGCCTCACGGTTCCCACACCATTCCAGAATCTTGGCTTTGTCAGAGAACTCTCATCTGCCAACTCTGCTTAATCCAGAGCTCACATCCTTCCTCTTCAGCCCATAGCCCATGACAACTCCAGATCCTCTTCCCAAAGTCTTTCTTCCCCAAACCTGCATCTCCATCTTCAGCAGCACAGTCCTGGGATCTTYCTGTCTTCCATTATTGACAGAATGAGCACTTCAAATCTTGTATTAATTTCTCTCACTTTATAACTTCCCTCTATGTGCAGCCCTAATCAATGCCAGAAGGGGACTTGGCAGTTCCACAAGCAGYTCACAGAAACTGCCTCCTTCCCAGACCCATTCACATCTCAGTCTGCCACATCATTTCTCTTGATACTTCCTGTCCAGCTCCTCATATTGCTTCCATTCTCCCTATCCGGACATCTTCTAGCACCTGCCTGCACTATCTTCTTGTTGGGTGCTGTCCTTCACTTTACTGAAAAATTATCTCTTGTCTTCCTTACCCTGTCTTGGCTTCTGCTGTGGCACTCTCATCCTTGCAAAAGCAGATTCCCACCTCTTGTGGTGGCGACGTTTTCAATACTCTAAACAATTCTCTAAAGGTAAGAGATGACAGAGAAGGACARCTAGCCCAGGGCTACGTTTGTGGCAAAAATACCATAGAAGTTTCACCTATCAGTGGTGAGAGTAAGCTGAGCTTCTTTTCAAGTGACAAGTCACACCACCATTCTTTGAATAAAGGTATTCTCTGCAGAATAAAATATAATAATTCATCATAYGATTAAAGTGATTTGGTCTAAGAAAAACACACAGTAAAAGATTCTACACAGACTCATAATTTGATTTCCAAATTAAATTAGGGAAGCAAATRATATTTGTCAGTGGACATACCTCAAATACTTCACACAAGAAAAGCTGTCTTAGGCATGAAMAAGGAAAATTATGTATGAATCAGTAACCTTTTTAGCATTTGAAATGCATTTCATGGCCCGTGGTCTTTCTTGTCATCTCTTAAAAATACTGCTATTAGTAAGTTATTGTTGCAATATTTTTTTCCCTTTGGATTTCAAGTAATTTATAATTTTGTAGGAATATCTGTTCATGCTGAATTATAGAAGGGTATCTGGCTGCATGATGCTGAATCTGCCCTCCTCACACACAGTGGAATAATTTGATATAGGAAGAAATACAATTTAGTATTTTATTTTGGTTTTATTATGATGCAAACATACATTTTCCGACTGCCTTCTCATAATTTTTATACCACAGGTCAGTTGCTCCGTCTGAAAATGTTTCGAGAAGACCATGGGTCTTGGATGACGATGTTCTTCAGCACCATCCTCTTCCTCTTCATATTTTCTCACATTTATAACCTGTTCCTTATTATGGCAGGGAATATGAGGTAGGTTCCAGAGTTTATTTTTTTTCTCTTTTAGTCTAGAATATACTTTGCTGTAAACATTTTTATTCCTYTGCTTTCTGAATTTAGGTAGAACTATAATTTAATTGGTTTATTAGCCAAGAGGATAAAATTATTAATTATAAAACATGGAGTCCTAAACTAATTTTAGCAACTATGCAATCACTATACTAATGAACWTTATATACTTTTTTTTAAATTTTAAATTATAACTAAACAAATTTGATTTGAACTTAGGGCTGAGTAGTTTACAAGATTAGGCATTACTATTGTGCCCAGAGAGGAAGTTCAGAGTTAATTCAGAGTAAAAGAAATTGAAGCATCTAAATTTGAGGAAGCTCATGGAGATAAAATGGGTAGTATAGTTCTCTTTTGGTTATGCACGATAATATTTGCTGATCCAGTTTGTTAAGAATATATTCTTTTTTTTTCCCCATATCTCTGACAGAGCAAAATTGCATTTGATTCAGGGAAGAACAGCTATCTAATATAAGTGAATTTATTTTAAATGGACCTCTTTGCATTAGTTTTTTTTGTTTTAATATCTGCTTTCTCCTATTATCTCAAAATTAAAACCACTTTCATGTGTTGATTTTCCTGCGAAACCCAAGTTACTGGTCATCTAATATATACAAAATGAGTTAATTGGAAAAAAACCCCATAGTAACATTGTTTATGAAAGCATCTGAAGACTTCCCAGCAAGGAAGARGAAATCCAAAGTATGTATGAGTTGAAGAACAATGCAAATAATTAAAATACTGTTTTCTAGCAGAATATCAGAGCCATACCAACAGAATCCAATGATGTGTTATTTAATGAACCGGTGTGATGTGGTGTGTTACAGATCTTAAGCATGTCAACAAAAATATTCAGTATTTAAAGTCCTGTAAACAATGTGACATAAAGCAGAAGGTGAGTAGGGGACAGACTGAGGGTCACTGAATGAACATGAGCACAGACCAGCTGGGATAATCAGGATATTGTGGCATGAAGACTGAATATATTGATTTGAGCCAGGAGGTAAAGCAGCAGACTCGTTGACTCTTTTGTGAAATGATCACAGTAATGGCATGGTAAATATGAATAGGTGCTCAATAACAGGTCGGATAATTAGGGTGGGGAAGGTGGGAGCATTGCAGGTTTCTGGCTTCCCTATTTACCTAGTCATACTATTATTGGTATTATGTTAAGATTTTTATTTGGTACTTCTAACTCTCCATAAACTAAAACCAGCTAGCAATTAGACAAATCATTAAGAGTTTGAAAGCCTGACTCATGTCTGGAAATCAGATTTCATTTGTCCTTGTCAACACTCCTGCTCCCTATATCTGTTACAAGCTTCCATTAGCTGCACTGAAGTGATTGCACAGCCATCAGCATCCACATCTTTGGAAAAAGGCACAGCCTAGAACTAAAATAGCTGGTGTCAGACAACGTGCCCTCTTGCATTCTGTGATAGGAAGCCTCTCCTTTCCTGGAGCTTATGCACCAGCTTTGGATTTGTTGTGATTCTTTTGGGAAGCTGACCATTTAGTGCTCAAGGAATTGCATGTCTTTTTTCAAATTGGTCTGGGGGTTTGTTATGGATATGTTGGCTCTCCATTCCAAGAGAGAAGAGCAAGAAAGGATATGAAACAAACAGTTTCAGCCTCAAACAACATAAATCATCAGTAAAACAGAGCCCTTGGATCAGTCCTCTAAAAGCTGAGACAGAACAATGCGTAGTACTTTTGAAAGAGGGTTTCTACAACAGACGTCATCAAAGCCAACTGCTCCATGTTGCCTTAATAAAGTGTTTCAAGGAGTGGATTATTTTTTCCTGAGTAAATATAATCCTTATGAAAGCTATTTGTTCATGGTTTGTACTTCTGTGCAAAAGAACAACTCTGTCTATACCTTTTGCAGCAGTGCCTTATGGAAATGACTGTCACCAGAGAGTCTGGTTTCCAGGATGAAGGTCAGAGTTTGCCTGCRTGAAGGTTGCAGCCTTTGTGGAGAGACTGACCTTTGTGCTTATGGGCTCCTGTGAAACACAGGCATCCCAGATTACACATCTTTCAATACAAGGGCTATGAAAGCCTTACAACACTAAGCAAAAAACATTCTTTTTTTCCTGCTTTTTTGTGTTTTGTTCTTGCAATGTCTCTGGTTCACCTTTCCCTGGGTTCTGACAGGAGAGGGATTCTAGTAAGTTTCTTTATGTCAGATGTTTGGTCTCATCAATGAAAATCCCTTTCTGGCACACAAGTAGGAAAATCATACATCATGCATTGTGACAACATGGATGATTACAGCAAAAGCAATATCATTTAAAGCTCTGTTATATAACCATACCTAAAAAAGGTATATTTTTCAGTTGCCAAAATCTGGGGTTTTYTTAAAAATATTTTTTTAAAGACACTTCACATGTATCTTAGTGCAGCAAACCTAAAAAGTGTGAATACATCCCTTAAAAAGGGTAGCAGTAGGGACTTGTAGTTTGCAGGGRAGAGCAAAAGCTGTATATAGTGTTCAGTTTTGGGCACCTCTCCACAAAAAAGTAATTGAAGTGCTGGAACATGGCCAGAGAAGGGCAAGAGAGATGGTGAAGGATCCAGAGAGCGAGTCAAATGAGGAGTGGCTGAGGGAGCTGGGGGTGTTCAGCCTGGAGGAAAGGAGGCTCAGGGGAGACACTGTGACCATCTACAGTAACCTGAAAGGAGGCTGTAGCAAGGTGGGGTCCATCCTTCTCACCTAGTCACAGGGTGAGAGGGAATGGCCTCAAATTGTGCCATATATTGTGTATTGTGGTGTATATTGTGTGTTAGGAAAAAGTGCTTCACAGAAAGGGTTGTTGAGCACTGGAACAGACTGCCCAGGGAARTGGAGGAATCACTGTCTCTGGAAGTCATCAAAATCCATGTGGCTCTTGGGATATGGTTTAGTGACAAATACACTGGCTCTAAGTTAACAGTTTGATTTGGTTATCTTGGAGATCTTTTCCACCGTTAATAATTCTGTACTTCTATGAAGAAGTTGCTGGTATTTGAATATACATTATACAGCTGTCTGCTGGGTGAGAGTGTGACCGTTTGAAGTAAATTTTTTTGGACAGATTGGAATGTATCTTTTWAAATGTAGTTCACTACTGTTTTCTCAGTGATGTTTCCTTTTAGGTACTTCACAGTGTAGGGCACTGATCCTCCATATATTAGGTCACTGTTCTTGTAGTCAGAGCTGAATATCTGGTGACTAAGTCTGCTACCAAAGCTCCATCAAATACTTTTTAAAAAGGTGAGGGACTGTAGTATTTGTTCTCACAGGTCATTTAGATTCTTGAACTTAAGCAGCTGTTTTGAGCTGTGTAACACGTAGCAGATAAGCAATATGGCTTATTTGTTAAAGGCTGYATTTGAAACATAAATGAAAGGAGAAAGCTTATTTTTCTGTATCAAAAAGCGTTTTGCGGCAAGGCCACATGGTGGCAGCAAAGGGCGCAGTTAAACCAGCCATATCCTGTGGAAGTACAAGGGGATGCTCGCTGGCAAACTTTTTTCCGGTGTTTTTCTGTGCCACAAGGAAATCCAGACCCTTAAATTTATTGTCTCTTTCTTTAAAGGAATTCTGGGTCTGAAACTGTCCAGGTACTGTCCCATATTTTTGTGATTTATATGTACTTTTGTACACCTGACATACTGAGGTATTCTCAGTCAGCATCTACACGTGTTGAAGTTTTCCCAACTGTGTCACTTGAAGTGGAGAACATATTGCCTAAACGAAATCCGTTTTCTCCTTTGGGAGCTTGCATCCGTAAATAATGCTTTGATATTTAAAATTTCAACATAGCGATATATTTTTCATATGATATCCAAAAATCAAAGTTGTGATTGCTTGTCTCRCAAATGTCAGCTGTCGTCACAATGTCAGTCTTTTCTCAGATGAAGAGATTTTCAGTTGTCCCAAAGGATGTTTGGGTGCATCATTATTGAATGCTCTGAAGTACCATTGAAATAACAGACACAAACCCATGTTCTCCTTAGCTGCAAATTGTCACATTAATAGCAATTATTGTAGCGATAATAAAAATTGTTGGGATTTTCTTCTCTCAGTGTTGCATGTAGCAGGATAGGGTTTGTTTTGGTTATTTTTGTTAAATACTAGGAGAGAGTACATCTTTTTGGTGTAGTTTTGTCTTCTCTTATTGCTCATTTATTTCACAGAAAATGTCTGAATTTACAATACAATTTGCATTACTTGGAGAAATTCCTTAGGCATTAAAATACTCCTTTAATTAAGTTTAGTTACAGGTTTGAGTGATTTAGTGAATTGGGACCCAATTACAGTCTGCAGCTGACAAATGCATGTAAAGAGCATTTGCATTTTTTAACAAGCTGTAACAAGGAAACAGCTATTTATATATTTAAAAGCCACAATAATAGCTTTCTATTAAATACTTTACCCTTATCCAAATTGTTACTGCTCCTTTTCCCCYGAGATACAGATTATTATGTCCCTGGAAATGTGTGTTTACTCAAGGATTTAAGCTACATGTTGTTCAGGATTCTGTGCTTTAGTTTGTTTGWTTGCTCATTAGAGCCAAGGATTACCCATCATTTGCATAATTTTAGAGTAAGAYTTAGGGACAAACAAGACTTTGTTTTCCTAACCACAGTGCTATTCTACAGAAGGCCCACAGTACATCTGTATTAGGCCTCCAGGATCCTTTCATAGCTGTGTCTGCCTAGACATATGTTTCATGAGCTCTGTGTTGATGTATCCTTTGTATATATTTGGTGGAGTTGTATATTTATGCTGTAGTAATGCTTAATATTTGGCAAAGATTATAGTGTTATACTGTTAGCTTCAGAAAGTTCAAGCCATTGTGAACTGCTGGAAGGTTCCAAATCCATAATCCCTCTATGCTGCTCTCAGAGACTAATCCTTTGTGGCCATCATCAGTCTTTCTCAAACTGTGTGTGAAAAACACACAGAATGTTTATAG